AACCACATTAACTTGTTAGACCTGCAACATCTTGGTGTTCGGAAGTGGTGTGCTTCCTGTGGGTGGGCTTTTTGCCCATCGTGCTGGGTACTAAATGGCCCTTTCAATCTGGAAACTTGTGTTCTCAAGTTCTGGGGAAATTGAAAATTTCATTGATTTTTCTTCCCTTTCTGATCTATGTTGGACTCCTCTGATTTGAATATTGGACATGATGGACTAGTCCTCATTTTCTTTTTATTTTCATTTATTTGCCTATATGTTCTATTTCCTAGAATTCCTCAGTTTTATCTTTCAACCCTTTTATTGAATTTTTCCATTTTCTTGTGTTTTTAACTTGCCTAATCTCTTGTCATCTCTGTTTCCTTTTTCTTTTTTATCATTCTGTTATTTCATGGATATAATTTCTTATTTCTCAGCGGAAGGTCAAAAAGCTGACTGAAAGTTGAGCACACAAGAAGAGTTGGCATACTGTTTCACTAAAGGGGTATCTGGCTGAGGTGTTTTTCTCTTAAGCTGATCTGCTTTCCCAGAGAGGAATCTACTGATCTTCCTGGGAGCCTAGTGGGAGGAGGTGGGGTGGGGAAATGGGTCTCAGCTTTGTCACCCAATCCTGTTTTTAACTCAACTTCTGTCCCTCAGCTCTGCCTGTGTTCCAAAGATCCTCTTACTGTATGGAGAGGATAAACTTCTCGTCTTTTACTTGAATAGGGATGGGGTCGTTTTTCACTAACCCTCCTTAAATTTTAGTTCCTTCCCAACAATAAGATTTCTCTTTACATTTATTTTTATGTTGGGTGTGACTTCATAATGAAATTTCTATCTCCAGAGAGAGACCAGGTAGGGTAGGCAGCATAATGCCCCTCTCCTGAAAGCCTGTGACTGTTACTTCACATAGCAAAGGAGACTTCGCAGATGTCATAAAGGAGCTGGAGCTGGAGAGAGTACTGGTGGATTTCAGAGACATTGTGGGTTCAGTTCCAGACCTTCATAACAAACCGGTATCACAATAAAGCGAGTTGTAATCTTTTTGCTGGTGGAGGGTCTTGCCTTCATTTTGTAAAAAACAGATCTGTGAAGCGCAGTAAAGCAAGGAATGCCTGTGTCCTGGACTGTCCAGGTGGGCCCAATGTAATCACAAGGGTCCCTATAAAAGGGAAGCAGAGGCCTAGGATACAAGCCGAGGAACGCGGGCAGTTTTGAAGCTGAAAAAAGGCAAGAAAAGGGATTCTCCAGTGTCCAAAAGGGATGCAGTCCTGCCAAGCCATTTTGGATGTCTGCCTTCCAGAACAGTAAGCTAATGTGATGCATTCGTGTCATTTTAAGCCAATATATTTGGGGTAATATGTTACAGCAGTGTAGATAAATATGCTGGTTCAGGGAGGGCCTGGGTGGCGGCCTTGTAAACTCTAGAGACCTGAAGTTACCATAAAGGAATTTATGGCAAGTAGTCATGTCCTAGGTTAGATTCTTCCCTGGCAAAAGTCAATCTTTACCCCAACTAAGCCTGCTTGTTGTCTATAATAATCTATCATTGGAGTATCAGGGTAACTTGTAACTTCCCTTTTTCCCAGACGCCTCTGGGCACAACCAATGCACCAGGGCACCTGGACAGAGACCACAAATTCCCTCATTGTTATGTTAACCAGACTGTTGACTATCCTGTACCTTTCTATAAAAAGCATGTGTCTATCGTTTTACTTTTTATCCCAGAAGTCTGTCCCCTTCCCACCCTGCTTTGGTTTCTCTGGCTACATATTAGATTCACCTGAAGACTTATTGAAGCATACTGGCACCTGGGACTGTCAGTTTCTGGCCGTGGTTTCCCATGCCACTATTTTTATAAAACTCCTTGATGGTAATGTGCAGCCAGGCTGAAAATCTCTGTAAAGCTAAGTATAAAGATAGCATTTACCTAACGTGGTTTTATCTTAAAATGTGGTTCATGGACCATCATCACCTGGGAACTTGTTGGAAATTTAAACTGTTCAGCCCTACCCCAGACCTACTGAGTTAGACAAGTTGGGGGTGCGGCCAGCTACCTGTATTTTAATAACCTGCCCCCTATAAGAAAATCTGGTGCACACTTAAAACTGAGAACCACTGTCTAACCAAAGAACCTCCTTATTGCTCTTAATTTCTGAAGTGTGTGTTATATAGAGATGTTATAAGAATATTGTGGTTAGGAGCCAGGAAAACTTTTAGTTAAGGTCATTCTCAAATATATTTACTTTTTTGCCATACTGTATAGAACTGTAATATTTGATGGCTAAGGATCTGAATTGTATGTTATTCTAAACATACAGATTATCTGAAGACATATAGACATGTAAAGGCAGATGTAGGAGACAAAGCTAACACACCCTCCAGCAGTAGATACTTTTAATAAAAGCCTTAAGTTCTAGGTACCGTGTTTTCCCGAAAATAACACCTAGCGCATGGAAAGATAAGACATCCCCTGAAAATAAGACCTAGCCCAACTTTGGGAGAAAAAATTAATATAAGACACTGTCTTGTTTTCGGGGAAACAGGGTAGCAAAGTACAGAATAATTTGGAGGCACATAGAAGTGTTTACTTCATCAAAATATGTACAATATACCAACATCTCTTATAAGATGTGTGTAATGCAATATGTAAGAAAGCAGTGGTTTAGATTTCTTTTAAATCTAGTATGCATTACTGATAGAAACTTTTTTGGTTGGTATGTTTTCTTTAGGGAAAGTCTAACTGATGAGTAGTAGCCACCAAGACAAAAGCATAGGCCAGATAAGGAATAGGATTAATAAACAGTGTTTAGGGTTCATTTATCCATATGCAGATTTTGCATAAATTAGTCTATATTTTTTTTAAAGCACTGCAAAATAAAATGAAATGTAACAGTTCAGTGAGACAATGGAATTTTATTTACATCCATATCCATTCCACAGATCACATCTTGAGGACAGGTGGTAATGTAGTGAAAGGCTATGCTCATTTTCTCCAGGCTGTGGGCAGAGACTCTCCAGAGTAGCAGTAATTGTTGATCTGAAACCTTTCAAGGAGAGAAAGAACTGCTGTAGGGATTCTATAACTTTATAATCCCCCAAATACCACTCATGTACAAATAAATGCTTGTCTTCTAGCTAGACACAGGTTCAGTTGGTTTTTCAAATACTCTAGCATGGCAGTACATTACTTGGGAAATTAAAGCTGAAACAGAATTATTCAACTCAAAACATCTCCTGTCTTTCACTACGAAAAACAGTAACAATTTCTTCCATAATACACTGTGGGAGAAAGTTATCAAGACAAAAATCAGCATTCAGAATGTTTTTTCTTACAGTTTTTAAACTGGCATTAGCCTGTAAGTAGCTTTAAGCAATAGTAACTTTTATGCCTTCCATCTTACCTGAAAATATATATACTAACAATCTGCATGTTCTGTATGCTAGAGGTTGCTAATTTTCATTATTTTGCTATCAAGAAAGACATACTTTTTTTTAATAGGGAAAGAGATTTAAATATTAAATCTAAGACTTGATTTTCTCCAAATAATGGTTGTTTGCTTTCTAAGTTGTTTAAAGTAAATGAAAGATGTCTTATGATTTAATTTTCCCCAGAAAAAAATAAATACCCTAATTCATAATATTTAGGTAATGGTCTCTTATTTTTGATATCTTTAATATTTTTTACATCATGAGACATCATTATGATCTTATCTAATTGTTACTGAAATGAAAACTATCTTTATTTGCCTTAAAAAATATTTTACAGCTGGATAGTTAGCCTTGGTAATTTTGTTACACTCTTCAGTCAGTTTAGTCTGATTCAGAAGACCCTGCAGTATGATTGGGGCAGAGCTCAGTTTCTATGGAGACACTGATTTCAACTTTTTTGTTCTATTCTTAAACTATGTAGTTATATGCAATGTATTAAAACAAAGCATAAAGATGAAGGCATTTAAACATACTACAAATGACTCTGACTTGCAAACTAGGGAGGCCTCATGTGTTTGACCTTAAAGGCCAGGGAAAGAAGGTAAGGCAGTTAGACTTAACCACTGCCATCTACAGATTATATCAAACTTCCTTTCATTTCCCAGAACTGCTCTGAGAGCCTGGTGTCATCATTGACATATACTGCTAGCTAATGATATAAACAAGAACATACATGTAATCAGAGGCAGGCAAATCTCCAGGGGTCCTTCAAATGGTTTAAAAAAAAAGACTCAGAAAATAACAAGACTATCCCAACATGTCAGCACTGAAGGATGAAAACGGGGATGATTTCCATTTTAGCATCTCAAAAACAGACAAATCTAGAGCTTATACGCAGATTATCAAAGGCCACAAGACAGTTTTACTGGTTCTACAGGGAGCTGGGAGCTGCAGGTCACAGATGTGTGTACATTTATTTCCCCATTTAGCAGCACAGTGACTGCTTTACAAAGCTGTTCCAGTATTCTGCTGCTACATTAGGAAACAACAGGCCAACCTCCATTCAACCTCATTTATCACTTAAGACCCTTCAGCACATCACACCAGCACAACAGAACCTCCAACTTTCTGCAGGTACTCATGAGCATCACGCATGTTACAATCAGCACATTTCCCTACATACACATATGCACAACTACATTGAAAGCATTTAATACAAAATTGTACATTACATGAAGTAGAACCTTAAAGAGTACAGAGAAAATGCATGCAGAGAGAGCCCATTAAAGTACAAAGCCCGTGGGATATGTCATTTTAAGTTTATATTTCCTATAGGATGGTAACACATTCCCGATCCAGAGGCAATTTCCAAAGTTTTGGATACTGCCCATTGCATTACATTTAAATTAAAATGCTCCCTATGTATATAGACAGTAAAAGCAAAAAAATACTTACACACATTCCATTTTTTAACATATCAAAAATGTTTCCAAGGCAACATTAAAATGATTATACCACAGTCCCCAACACAACATCAAGCTCTAACAGGAAGTGCGGAGGCAGGAAGGTTCCACCCGGTGGGTGAATTAGATGCCCTTCTTCTCATCACCCAGTAAATTCACGGCAGCTTTCTTGGCTGTTGGGAGGAAAGGACATTGTGTCAAAGCTCTTTGCAATACAGGCTCTGCATGTAACATAGCTACTGGGGAACAACTGGGAAGACTCACGTTCTGATGAGAACACACTGAGGTTTGTGGCAGGGCTAAAGAAAGTTTTCCAGGGATTGGACAAGAAACAATTTCACGGCACAAATCCTGAGCATTTGAGCAAAGTTCTTGAAGAGAATCTAGCCTGGCCCCCTAGTAGTGAAGTGTCACCTAAGCCCATTGTCCTATAAGCATCACAAGCTGCAGAGATTCCCTGGGCATATGGTGTTCCTCTGTACAATCAAGAAATTCTCGTTGGTGTATGGGTGCTCACCTGTACAATGTCACTATGTCTCAATGAGATGACAAATAGGTCATCCACCTATCCTGTGGTGACAGAAATCAGAGAAAGTGATCGTTCCCAGTACTCAGACATGACGGCCTATTTATACACATTTATGGTTTCTCAGGGTGCCACCATTTCTTCCTATGATGGAAAGAGTGTGCTACAAGTCTTTTGAGTTGGAAGCAACAAAGTATTCTGAATATGGCTGGAGAAAAACAGACACACTTTTTAAAGTCTCACTTTAAATCCATGGACACAAATCTCAAGTGAGAATAATACTGTCTGGCAATCATGAGGTTGTCCCAGGCACTCCACTGTCCCAGTCTCAGAACAGCCAGCAAATCAGAGCCATGCTCACGGATTAACATGCCACCCCCAGCTGCTTTCACAGCACACAATGGGAGAGGTGAGTAACCAGCAGCACAAACACGATGGCCGGCAAAAATGAAAATAACTGGTCTTTCTCAGGAAAAGTTTGCCGAACCTGGCCCTAGACAACTACTTCATACTTCTATTTCCATTCCTTCCTTCCCTATTCTTTCACTTGACCCTTCCTTCTTATTTCACTGAGAAATGTGAAGCCATCAAAAAATTAGTTCCATAAGCTTCCACCTCACCTATCAACATTTCACCCATAAACCCCGATTTCCCTCCTGTTATTATCAACTGTCCCTGCTCCTACGACCAAGCCCTCTGTTTGTACACTAGATCCTATGCCCTCTGGTCTAGTCAAGGACAGACCACCAGCAATTCACCCTCTCACTTTTGCCATCCTCTTGCTCTTTACGGGATCATGCCCATTAATTTTCAAGCATACTTTGTTACTTCTACCTTAGGAAATGGGGGGGGGGGGGCTGGGAAATCCTCAGGACAGTTCCTTTTTCTAGTTATATCCCAATTCTTCTGTTCCTTTGCAGGCAATTTCTCAAAAACAGTTGTCTACATTCTGTCATGCTTTTCTTCCCATTTCTCTCAAAGCCATTCCAATCTGGATGTTGATCCCACCATTACATAAATCTGTTTTGTCAAGATCACAGTGCCTTCCTCATTGCTAAATCAATGCTCGGTTTTCAGTCCTTGTCACTTGACCTGTCTGCAGCCTGTGACACAATGGATCACTTCTCTGCTTTGAAACAGTTTCTTCACGTGGCCCCAACAATATGTCTTGTGGTTTTCTTGCTACCTCAACTGGCCACTCCTTATCAGTCTACTTGGCTGGTTGCTCTCATCTTCTCAAGCTCTAAACATTGGGGCCTCAGAGCTCAATCCTTGGTCCTCTTTTTCTAACCACATTAACCCCCTTAGTGATCTCATTCAGTCTCATGCTTACTACGATGTCTATGTGCTGGTGACCCCCAAATTCATATCCTCAGCCCAGACATACCTCCTGAACTCTTGATGTCTATATCTAACTTGCTATTTGACTACTCCATGTAGGTACTTAACAGACATTTCAAAGTCATGTCCAGACTGGATTCCTTATTTCCCCCTCTCAACTTATTATACCTAGTCTTCCCCAGCTCAATGGCAATTATATCCTTCCATCATGTGTTCGGACTCCTTGATTCCTGTCTCATACCCCACAAAATCTATAGTTCTATAATACATTCGAAATCTATCAAGAATCCAATGACTTACCCCCTACTGCTACCATTATGAACCAAGCCACCAGCATCATCTCCGGCCAGATTACTACCACAATGACTTTTTAACTGGTCTCCTGATTCTTCCCTGTCTCCCTTCAGTCTAATCTTACAACAGTGGCCAAAACGACCCTGTTCAAGCACAGGATGGGTCATATTACTCTTCTGTTCAAAATTCCCATCTCACCCAGGAGAAAAGCCAAAGCCGGTACAATAGCCTACAAGGCATTATGTGATCTGTCCTCTGCCAGCCTCATTCCTTTATTTTTTATTGATTTCAGAGAGGAAGGGAGAGAGAGAGAGAGAGAGAGAAAGAGAGAGAGAGAGAGAGAGAGAGAGAGAGAGAGAGAGAGAGAGAGAGAGAGAGAGAGAGAGGTAAAAACATCATTGATGAGAGAGAATCACTGATTGGCTGCCTCCTGCACACCCCCTACTTGGGGAGAGGAGGGGGATCGAGCCCACAACCCCAGGGCATGTGCCCTTGGCCGGAATCGAACCTGGGACCCTTTAGTCTGCAGGCCGATGCTCTATCCACTGAGCCAATCTGGTTAGGGTCAGCCTCACTCTTTAACCTCTCTGAACTGTCGTCTCCTCTCCCTCTAGGTCATTTTCTGGCTACACTGCTCCCACCTCCAGGCTTTTGCATGTGCTGTTCCTTCTGTCTGTAGCATTCTTCTCCATGGTTCCTTCCTTTACTTACCACTTTGATGTCTGATTCAGTACAGCCTTATTGGGGAAGATTTCCTAAGTCACTCTCTTTAAAACTGCAACCTTCCCTTCAGCCCCTAGCACTCCCTGTCTTTTTATCTGCTACATTTTTCTTTTTATTGCCTAACTATACCATATAATTTAGTTTTTAATTTAATTTTCTCTCAGTAAGATTGTAAATCTTCACAAGTTCACTAGTTCATCCTCAGGGCTATGAACATGCTTGGCACATATTAAACACCTCAATAAATATCTACTCAATGAATGAATCAGAGAATTGGGAGAGGGCATTCTCTGGGACCCGTAGCAAAAGCAATTTGAACAGCATATTCAGCAGTTCCACCTAAAATGAATTAAAGATGTACTTAAATATAAATATATATGATTCTCTGAAATCTGTACCCACCACAGAAAGTCATTTGTCCTAATGTGCTGACTAAATGGTATATTAAACGTGGCACGGAGGAAGAATCTTGGGAAAAGTAAAGGACAATAGGCAAAGTCTTGGTAGAGAAATCCCCGAGTGACCTTGGCATTTGGCTGGGGAAAGCTAACAGGACAAGAATGCCAGGAAGACTATTGCTTGAGCCCAGTATACCACCTCCCCTCTCACATGCTGCACCACACGGACCTCCAGCCTCACCTTCTTTCGCGAAGGCATCTGCCGTCTCTTTGGCTTTGTCCTTCAAGTCGTTCACCACATGGTCTACCTGGGACTCGTGCTTTAGGAAGATAGGACGGATGACGCGCTTGTAGAGCAGTTCCGCCCCGTTGGAAGGGCTCGGGGCCATGCACCACAGCAGGAAGCCGCACTGCACAGAATGAGGGAGAGTCAGCATGGTAACAGGAGGGGAGTGGGCACCCACAACACACTGCCCTCCGCTACGATGGGGATGGCACTGCCTCTGCTACTTTCTCCAATAGCATTTCCAGAGTTTTCTGCAAGCTACGGGTGGGCTTTTCTTAGGCAGGAAAATGTGCCAGATACTGGGCTAGTGAGGAAAAGCTGAGACTGAAAAGAAAGGTCAAACACATCAAGTCCAGCAGCTTCCCTTCCTTCCTAACGTGGACCACTTTTTAGTTACAAAAGCTTTTATTATAACTCTTCAAATCAATTTTAAAAACACAGTACTTATCTGCATGTGGAAAGCCCTGTATGGCTAAGCCTAATACCTATGACGCTTGTTCTCAGTAGGCTTATGTTGGTAAGTTTGACACATTTGTTAATCCTGTTATAGGAAACATACCCTGGCCATTGTTGAAAACTTCCCAGAGTGGAATCTCAGTTTTTAGTAGATTTTAGCCTTCAAGTAATCTTTAAAGTCAAGTGTTTCTCTTCTTTTATCCTGAATGTAGACATTATTCCTAACTCTTTATGGAACACTTTGCCATTAAGATTTTAAAAAAGAAGAAATTGATAATACTTCTGCCCTAAAAACTTTAAAAAACATGAATTGTCAAACTAAATTTATATCTAAAATAATTTTACTGTTTATTCAAATGATAACTCAGCACTTCAAGTTAACCAAGCAGTTTATTCCTCTGTAAGATAATAAGCCAAAACGGGAATATCCACTGTGATATACTCATTCCCTTAGAAAGTTTAATGAACTGCAAACATTCCGGGTTCTTTTATCTAAGAGTCTAACACCCAGCCCAGGTGACTGTAAAATAACTAATTTCCTGAGATTCCAGATCTGTATTTTTTACTTCTCCTTAATGTAACTACCCCTCAACTTCTTAGGTCACAAACTTAACTATTTAGCCTTAGTCCTTGTTATTCCAAACCAAAGAATGTATTCAAATAATCAAGAAGCTGCACTGCTTTTCGAAGATAATATTTTGAACTTAAAATGCACATATTTGTGCCCTAAAGCTTGCTTGTTCAGTACCATGTTGGCTCTAAGAATTTTGTATTATATATTGAAGTTCTATTACCCTCAAAATAAATAAAATGCAGGTTCTCAACAGATTACTTTGTGGGGAAATGCACTCATGATTAGAACCTTTATAGACACAAAAGCAGGGGGGAAACTGTCAAAAGATGTGTTACCAGATTGGATTAGGAAAAAACAACTATAGTTATATGCTTCTTACAAGAAACACACCTAACACCAAACCAATTTTAAAAACATAAAGGGCCCGACTGGTGTGGTCAGTAGTTGAACATCAACCCATGAACCAAGAGGTCACCAATTTGATTCCCAGGCAGGGCATATGCCTGGGTCGCTCCCCAGTAGGGGGCTTGCAGAAGGCAGCTGATCTGATGATGTTTCTCATCAATGCTTCTATCTCTCTTCCTCCATTTCTCTCTAAAAATCAATTAAAAAAACATTTTTTTTTTTAAAAGAACACTTAAAGGGATCATCATCCTTTTATTTGTATTAAACAAACACCAACTCCCAAGGAGCTTATATAGTATTATAGTACATATACATTAGTTAAGGCAAAATAAGCAAATAGTCCTAAAGGAAAACACTGACCAAGAAGATTCATCTGAATCTTATGTCTTTGATACATATGTGAACTCTATATAGCTTTGTTATCTTAATAACTTTATAATTATACTAGAGGCCCAATGCATGAAAGTCGTGCAAGAGTCGGCCTTCCTTCCCCCGGCTGCCAGCACCGGCTTCCCTTGCAGCCCCGGCTTCATCCAGGACATCCGGTCTAATTAGCATGTTATGTTTTATCATTATAGATAATTCTTACTTGTATAGTTATATAATTTATAATTATATATAGCTACATATAACTTCATATATAGATCTGAAATATAAAATCCACAGATTTTAACACTTCCATCAGAGTTATATTTCAAACATACTAGAAATCAGTAAGAATACAGAAGAACACAAAATTTAAAATCTTAAGAGAGAGATGTGTGTGTGTGTGTGTGTGTGTGTGTGTATATATATATATATATATATATATATATCCAACAAACAGGGATTCTAAGAGAATTATATATTCTTTATTATATAGAGAATAGAGAAAGGACTCAGAGAAACTGGGTCTGGCAAACCTTGTGCATGTCATTCCTTTATTTTAACTCAATAAAATAGTTAATTGAAAAAAATGTTAAATCTACCTCATAAAGATTTTGTAGGAAATAAGAAAACTTGAGCACTTGGCACAGTAGGAACTTTGTGACTGTCCCAAGATCACTGTCTTCTACCAACATCTATGAAACAGTACAACTAACTTATTAACTTTAAGTGAGGTAGGATCAAGTCCCAGAACCAGCATCCACCCTTTTTAAACAATTAAGTGATAACTCTCCTTTTCTACCTGAAATGAAATTCAAAGTAATTACACACATAATTACCCCAAAAAAATCAAGCTAGTAATCTTTCCTTATCTGAGGGGATATGTTCCAAACCCCTGTAGGTGCCCAAAACTGTGGATAATACAGAACCCTGCATACACCATGTTTTTCCTGTACAGACATACATATCTTTAATAAAGTTTAACTTATGAATTGGGCACAATAAGAGATAAACAACAATAACTAGTAGTAAAATAAAACAATTACAACAATTTACTATAATAAAAATGATGTGAATGGCTCTGGTGCCATTATTAAGTAAAATAAAGGTTACCTGAACACAAGGCTTCCTGGGACAGTTGACCTGATAACTGAGCCAGCTACTAAGTGAGTAACAGGCGGGTGGCATATACAGTGTGAATCCTCTGCACAAAGGAATGATTCACATCTCAGGCAGGACACTGAAGGATGGTGGGAGATTTCATCACGCTACTCAGAACGGTGTGTAATTTAAAACTTATAAATTGCTTATTCTAGATTTTTCCATTTAATATTTTTGGACCACAGCTGACTGCTGGTAACTGAAGCTGCAAATAAGGTGGGGGAAACTACTCTAACTGCAATAAAAGAAAAAATACAGTGAAAGTAATTTATAATAAAACTATATATTTCAATATGTAAATCTTAAAGCCAAATTATACTAGGAAAAAAACATAAAATACTAGTAAGTAGAATCTATGACTAAACAGCTGCAAACGAAATTTCTTCCATATATTCCCCAAAGGTTGAGAATTTCTGGACCAGAGGGGTGATACAACTGGCTTTCCACATCAAAGTACTCAACCAAAGCACAATTCACTGCAATTATCTCCAAGTTATGATTTTATAACAGTCTCCTACCCCCACTTTACTCTCCTTCCTGATGCATGACAGGCTTCAGAACCAGTTTACTGAGCACAGCACCAGGAACCGTGGAGCTCAGAGCTGGGAAAGCAAGCGGGGACGCATGGCAGTAGGAAGGGCCCTCTCAGAGCCTCACTGCACATGCGTACACAACCACCCCAAACTCCAGTGAGACCGCACACACACAGGCAGAGCAAGACTTCTGCTACAGGTCCGCGCACTGAAGGCCCGTTTCTTGCAGCACGCCTCGGATCCTCAGCAGGTGCGGGCAGCGTCAGCTTTACCAGGTTTTCCCAGCACCAGCTCGCCCCGGGCTTCACCAGCTAGCCTAGTGAATTAGATGTTTTCTAAGCCACACATTGCATTAACCCAAAACGGAGAACTACCGTAAGTGACTGCCTTTTTCACTGGCTTTGCCTCTCTTGTCCTCTGCTTACAGCCTGGTTAATGACAGGCAGAGGGAGCCTGCACACCATTGCTCTAGTTAACATTCTCGGGGGGAAGACCTTTGCTTTTTAATATCCATTCATGTAGTGCTGTCTATTGGTTGCTTATATAGGTAATGCATACATATTCAAGACTCAATGCAATAATTTAAAAGGACGTGAAGGAAAAGTTACATTCTTGACAGAACATCAGAATTGCATGTAGCCATTTTGAAGAGTATGCAGAGTTATCTAAGGGGATGTACTATGTACTACTGCACACAAAGGAAGTTTCTAACTACAGACAGTCTGTCCCTGATTTATCGATTTGACTTAACAATTTTTCCACCTTATGATGGTGCCAAAACACAACATTCATTCCGTAGAAACAAGATAGGCTCAGCTATATTTGGTAGGTTAGGTGGGTTAAATGCATTTCAATTTACAACATTTTCCACTTGCAGTGGGTTTATCAGGACATGATCCCATCAAAAGTAGAGAGGCATCTGTATTTGGAGAGTGTTGTTTTTAGCATCTAACATCCTAGTATGATATTTGTTACTTGTATAGAAGTGCTTTGCTGTGTTTTGAAAACCGATATGGAGTTTACATTGACATTAAGTTTTATTTTATTTTATTTATTTATTTTTAATATATTTTATTGATTTTTTTACACAGAGGAAGGGAGAGAGATAGAGAGTTAGAAACATCCATGAGAGAGAAACATCGATCAGCTGCCTCCTGCACACCTCCTACTGGGGATGTGCCTGCAACCAAGGTGCGTGCCCTTGACGGGAATTGAACCCGGGACCTTTAAATCCACAGGCCAGGCCGACTCTCTATCCACTGAGCCAAACCGGTTTCAGCGACATTAGTAAATTTTAATTTTTACCATTTAAAATTGCAAGAAATAGTATCTTGGCTGGTTTTCCTACATAGACTATCTGATTTTCAGGAATGGGTTACTGATGTGGAGACAGGCACCCATATTATAACCCTGGGGATCAATGTGAATTGGAAATAGCTCACTGGATTAAGAATTAGGAGAGTTGATATCTACTTTATGACTTTAGGAAAATCAACCTCTCTCAGTTAATTTTCTCTGTAGGATTCTAGCAAAGTCCCAAATTCATGTACTTGAGGAAGGTATATGAGATAATAGTAGCATCACCAAGTCCTATAGTTCATACTGTTGTTGAAAATCTCTGAAATATTATCTATCTATGTAAATATCAACCCTTTAGCAGTCCAAAATGCTGCTTCATCCATCTTTTCTGGATGAATTAAGGCAAGACTACCAGACAGGGCCTGAGAAGTGTGTCTGTATGTCTGCCACCTCTCCAACAGCATTACTTTATGGGCTATACTCCAGACTATTAATTTAGTTCTTTTCTGCACCCTCTTGAGACAGAAACATAATTACTACTATCTACTTACATCCTTAGCATTTTCCAGCTCTCAAGTAAAATAACTTTCTTGTATTAAAAATAAAGTTAATTACTGTTCAATTCTCAAGGTGATGATATTCAGCCACCAGCTTTTATAACTCCCTTTTCTTAATCTGAATAACTATGCCACAGCCCAGGATACCCTGAGCTACACAGCCTGGCCATCCTTTTAGTCAAGCTGTCCTGAGTGGTAGCTCCCGATACTCCCAAGTACAAACACCAGCCCACTCTTACCTGTGGTTCAGAGTCCGTGCTTTCTTAACAGAACTCTTGGCACTATTAACACTGACACACAGAATCCCTTCATTACAAATTACAATAGGACAGATCACTCTGTGATTCTAATGGTGTCACCATCCAATTTTTCCCTAGAAGAGTTTTAATTCCAAGGTAGGGAGGGATATGCTTAATATGCACAGTTTGGGACTAGCCTGGTCAAAACTGAGAGCTACCGTCAGAAAAATACATATTTCGACACTGGCCTCCTGATATACTGCAATCACTTCACCAGGAATCTACATCTCAGGAAGCCTTTGCAAGTGGTCACAGCAATAGTGATGCGCTGGGTTATATGGCTAGTCAGAGTGCAAAAACAAAAGCTCAAAGAGAACATGCCAAAGGGAAGATTGCTCCATCTTTTTTGCCTCCTACAAAGTTAAGACAAACGTCATGCTCTCTGTCAATGGGTGAAACAGTTCAGGTGACAGGCTCGATCAGACTTAAACTTGACTGAGTTTTTCAACCTTGTTTTAAAAATTAATCTCGAAAATGATTTTAATGACAGTAAAGATGAGGTGCAGATATTTATTTCAGCATTCATTATAATGGTAAAGCAAACTTAAATGTCTTTCCATTGGGAACCAGGTAAATTATTGTCTATAATGGATAGTCAGCTATCCACTGAATATTGAATAACAAGAGAAAACTCAAGAGTACTGTATAATATTAACTGAAAAAAGTGAGATGCAGAATTGTATATCATATATATAGAATTGTATATCATACATGCCTCAGCAATACATATATGGTTATGACAATAACATGCAGTTCAGTGTGTACTTATGTCATAGACCAATATATTTGCACATTAAAATAAATAGGAAAACTATCCTAAGATGTTAATAATGGTAGGTTTCCAATGCTTTTTTGTGCCTCATCTAAAACATGCTCCCTCTACATGGCCGAAACCGGTTTGGCTCAGTGGTAAAGCATTGGTCTGTGGACTGAAAGGTCCCAGGTTCGATTCCAGTTAGGGCATGTACCTTGGTTGCGGGCACATCCCCGGTAGGGGTTGTGCAAGAGGCAGCTGGTCGATATTTCTGTCATCGACATTTCTAGCTCTCTATCTCTCTCCCTTCCTCTCTGTAAAAAATCAATAAAATATATTTAAAAATAAATAAAATAAAACAAAACATGCTCCTGCCGAAGCCAGTTTGGTTCAGTGGTAGAGTGTCGGTCTGTGGACTGAAGGGTCCCAGGTTCGATTCCGGGCAAGGGCATGGACATTGGTTGCGGGCACATCCTCGGCAGGGGGTGTGCAGGAGGCAGCTGGTCAATGTTTCTCTCTCATCGACATTTCTAACTCTCTATCTCTCCCTTCCTCTCTGTAAAAAATCAATAAAATATATTTTAAAAAATAAATAAAAATTAAAAATAAAAATAAAACATGCTCCCTCTCACTGTAACCAGTGAGATGGCAGATACTTTTGTTTTATTCACCAAAGTTTCCCCCAAACCTAAAACAGATTCTGGCACATAGAGGTTCTCAATAAATATCTGCTGAATAAAGAAATGAACATATGCTCTTTTTATAATCAGGGGAAAAGGGATTTTACATTTACTTTTAAACCATTCTGTACACTAGATGGCCCTAAATAGTATTTACAAAGTCATAATAAAGTGAGGGTGAATGTTTACCTACCCCAAATTATGGTACAAATGCCTGAGGAAGATGGGGACAAGGGAGGCTGCATGTGTGTGGGGGACAAGGGAAGAAAGGGAGCCAGTTCCTTATCTTCCAGTGTGAATCAAGAGCTATGTGAAAAATAGAAAAGTTAAAAGGGGGCTGAACAAGAATATTGTTTAGCCTGGCTGGTAACTTAGTGGTTGAGCATTGACCTATGAACCAGAAAGTAATGGTTCGATTCTCAGTGAGGCATAGGCCCAATTGCAGGCTCAGTCTCCAGTGGGGGATGTGCAGAAGGCAGCTGACCAATGATTCTTTCTCATTATTGATGTTTCTCTCTCTCTCTCTCTCCCACCCTCTCCCTTCCTCTCTGAAATAAATAAAAATATACATTTTTAAAAACAATTATTTAGAGATAGTTAAATGGCAAGATAATCTGCCATAAATGAAGGGACAGGGTTGCTTTTGAAGAAGCAATACGGGGCAGAGGAGGCAGAACTGCTGTTCTTCAACTCTCTGACAGAACTATTTGGACCTCTAAACTGTGTGATGTGCAGCTTTTATTAAAACAAGTGCTTAGGGGTCTGAAGGGAAAGAAGAGAGCTTCTTCATACGGGCTGGCACACACCCTCGTGTGGGAAGCCTGGCTGAGAACCAGACTACTTACAACCTATCCAACTTACAGGGAGCAGGGCTTCCGCCATGGAAGACACTTAAGGATCAATGGAAGATAGCTCGTCCCATGTAGGGAGAAAGAACCGCTCGAGCTATTAAAACGCATGAGCTCTTTCTTTCTCATTCACCTCTGGTGCAAATCTGGAGTGGACACAGGTCCCATGGGAACAAGTTTCAACTTCCACTCCTTTCCCCACATGCTGGGTATCCTAAGCCCAACACAGGTGCTGTCAGAGCTGACCCCAACTAGGGTACCCGCCAACATCCTTAAAATGATTTCCACTGAGAGCCCATTTCCCACCTTCTTTCTCCAAACCTACATAAGAAAAAAGCATTTCTTCTTCCACAAATAAAGACTCCTCCCTGGAATATGTTCACCACTGGGACTAATCTGTGGCCTGTGAAAATTTGCAATGCTTAAAATTAAACATAGACAACTGCATGTAGATAGGATCTTGGCGAGCAGCAGTGTTTGTGATCTGTCATAGTATTTCCATGTTTTACCATCACCTTCATCTTAAACACACAATTGCTATGGCTGTTTCCAAGACAGTATGCAAAAAATATTAGACGTGTTGAATCCTGTCTTCCTATTCATAGGATCTGAGGCAGAGCCACAGATGTCTAACATTCAAGCATTTATTTGTTCCCATTCTTGTTTATAGGTCCTGAGATGGAGTTTCTTTTAGGGATAAGGGCAAATCAAGTACTTATATGGAAGGAGACAGAGCAGTTTAGGGAACTGCCCACGTACCTTTAGCATGTAGTAGAAGGGGAACCAGGACAGGAAGAGGTCAGAGAAGAATTCGGCGATGCTGAACACACCATACACTACCCAATAGGTCAGCCACTGGGTATCATCTTCTTTGTTGGGACTCTCTATGGCTTTAATTCTGAAAGGCAATATAAAAACAAGTATATCATGTAGTAGGATCTCAATGAAACATTTTCAAACATACTTCCACAGACTGCCCTCTACTACCAATTGAGAAATACAGGCAAATATATCCACTGTGTCACTAACAAGAGCACAACATAAAGGCAGGAAGTAATGTGGAGCTCAGGACAAGTCCTATTTGTTCCAGTGTTCTGGTCACTGAAGAAACCAGTGCCAGCTGAGCCCTGGTCTCTACCCAGGCCCCAGAAGACACTGCCCATGACTGGGAACCCCAGTAATTCCCACTCCCAGGGGTTCCTGCCGCCAGGGATATATTAAAAATTCTCTCATAATAACGAGTTCTCATGTACTTTAATAACTGAGGTACATTGTGGGTGAATAGGAGTTTTCTGTGCTTTAAGTGTGGTTTATCTATTTATATCTAAAAGGGTTTTTAAAGTCATTAGTGTGATAAAATTTTATTTCTTATACATATATCCTGGGAAGAGGGGATGCACAGTCATATTTCACTTAAGGCCTTAATTCTGGGAACTAAAGCAGTCATGAGTAAGTAAACACACATATCCACACATAAACTGCTAAACATTTCATGAAACTACCCAATAGTTTAAACTCTATACTATCATTGTTTTTAAGAAATTAGTCAAGATCCAGATTCAAAAACAGAAAAGCTACCCTAACAATTCAAGTACAGTGCTTTGAAAAATTTAAAAAAAAAAATTAAATGGTTAGTTCCTTTTCTTATCAACAATATGAATTCAAAAATTTCTACATTAATATACCTGAAACATTATGTGGTAACAATGAAAATAGAAATAAACTCAAAAATTGAACACACATATTGATCACAACTTTTAGAAAACCAGGGCAATGAAAGACAGAAGACTAGTCTTATTAAGGTGAAGAGATTTTTCTACTACTGAAGCATTTAATTATTGCTTTAATTTGAAACACAATTAAAAAAATATGTCTACATGTCATAACATCATAAACTAGTCAGAACAAGAAAGAACATTGAAGACAGACTCACCCATTCAGTTTACAGTTTAGGAACCTGAGACTCAACAAGGTAGACAAGAGCTTAAAACCGGGGGTTCCTGAACGCTGTTTCCTTACATACTTTCTCGTCCAGGTGAGGTAACGCAGATGATGCTTCAACAATACATTCTACTGCCTTGTACATATATTGAATCGTATTTCAACTTTTGTATCAGGTGGATGTATCAACTTAGACAACATAAGGAATTCAAGAAATTATAGGATGCACTCTATACCCTTAAATCATTTCCAGTCCAGCCAAAATGGCAAAGCTAAAGAAGGGAGGGGCAAGGAGCCTTGTAATCATTTAACTCTCACAATAGCCCTATGGAATAGGTGTTATTTTCATTCTTGAGAGGAAGAAACAGGGACATGGTGGGATATGCAGAAGATGGTTGACAACAGTATAGGAGCAGATCTCAGCTCTAAAAACTCACTGAGTAGAATCAGAAGTCATAGGATGTGGAGTTGGAAGATATCTTAGAGATAAACTAGTTTACATTCTACATTTCATAGACAACAAGTGGATTTCAAAGAGAAAAGGGTGATATTAAATGAATTTCAACTCAAACTAAAAGATTACAGAGGCATGTGTTCATTCATTTTTTAAGGGCAACATGAACTGTTGAAATACATTTCTGGTATATTCATACACTAAAATATTTGAAGTCTTTAAAAAGGCTATTGACAGGGGAAAATGTCTAAGATGTAGTGTTGGTGTAAAAAGGAAATTACTAATTTTGTATAAACAAAAAGTCTGTGTATGTTTACAGATTAAGAATGGTGTTCAAAATTGTTACAGCTATTTCTGAATATTAGAATTACAAAATTTTAGTGTGTGTTTTTTTTGTTTGTTTTTTACTGTCTTTGCAATGAGCATATACTATTTATTATAACCAAAGGAAGGAAAAAGATTTCTATTTGGGGAAAAAAAGAGCACCAGACTTACTATACCTACTTCCTCCTATGTGATTAGGTCACTCTCTAGGGCTTTGTTAAAAACAAACACTAAAGTGAACATCAGACACATTCCTTAATTTCTCTCTTGAGAAAACAGCTCATGTTTTTTTGTTGTTTTGTTTTTTTTACAAATAAAGTTCTATAACAATGATCAGACACAATCTGTTGTGTTTTAAGCATCCAAAGGCCTTTAATACACTCACACGTTCACATAAAGGCACACAGAGAGAAGAGCCATAAGCCCATCCAATTAAACTAAACTAATTTGTCCTAATTTTCTAGTTAAAGGAATATATATATATAAATATATATATATATATATATATATATATATATATATATATATATATATATATATATATATAAATTAACTATACTGAACTACAAAATAGACAGACTTTTTCCTCCATTTCTTCCCAATGCTCATCTGACTTTATGTCATTTCACCATCCTTAGCTTGCAGTTTTGTATTCTGGTTCTACCACTTACTAGGTATATGATATTGGGCAAGTTATTCTGGGCTTCAGTTTCCTCATTTTTTCAACTAGGGATGAGAAACCTCACTGTGTTGTTATGAAGACTAAAGTGGTTAATACATGTAAAGCACTTAGAAAAAAATGACTGGAACAGAGTAAGCATCACTAAGTATTACCTTAGTAATACTTACAATTCTATATAATAAAACCCTTATACGAAAATCAACTGAACAGAGGAATGACCAATGGAACAACCGGTCACTATGACACACACTAACCACCAGGGGGCAGATGCTCAACGCAGGTGGTCAGTGAGCTCCCACAGGAGGGAGCACTGCTGAGCCAGAAGCAGGGCTGCTCAGCCAGAAGCAGGGCTGAGGGATGGTGAGTGCAGTGGCGGTGGTGAAAGCCTCTCTCGCCTCCACTGCAGGCAGGCGGTAGGAAGCTAGGGGTCCTGGACTGCAAGAGGGATGTCCGTGGTGAGGTCCCAGACTGCGAAAAGGTGCAGGCCGGGCTGAGAGACCCCTCCCACCACCACCAGTGCACAAATTTCATGCACGAGGCCTCTAGTATGGTAATAATTTATTATCATTAGGAGACCATAGACTAAAAAGAAATTAGAGTGGTAAGAACACTCCAGTCTTTCCAGCTAAGCAGAGCTGATAAAGGATTAATATCATTGTTAATAGGCTAAAAGGAGATTAGAGAATTACCCATGGATTTCAATTATGCCTCCAAATTGCAAATGCTACAGAAAGTAAAGAGTTAGCTGAAATTCCAAAAATTCTACTGGCAGGTTAATGGGAACAAATTTGACACTTTTTTCAGGTAGCCGATCAAAATTCTTACATTGGTATTGAACTGGAACTAATATGTCCATTACCCACTGGCCAGCCCGCATCAGAACACTCGGCCCTGTGACTGGTGCAGCTATTGTTCACACCTTTGCTGGTGCTTTCTAAAAGCACGGGCAGGAGCCACGTGCGGCCACAGTGCGGCGTGAACACCAAGCCCATGTTCAGTGACATGTGATAATAGCATTCAGAAGTTCAGCACTTAACAAATACAAAAACTTATATTCTACCCGACTTTTAGCTAATATTTGTATTATAACTATTGTTATATCATTAAGAAACTAAAACTAGCAAGTAGAAAAGCAGATATGTGGGAAAAACCACATTTTTTATGTTTTTGAGATATTCCTGTTATAGTTTCAATTATTGATTTTTTTCCCCCATTGATGACAACTTCAGTTAAATTCTATCATTGGGATGGATGTTACATTTTCATATTTCAATGAAGTTATAAATTAAACATTTTTAAAAATATATGTTTTTATTGATTTTTTACAGAGAGGAAGAGAAAGGGATAGAGAGTTAGAAACATCGATGAGAGAGAATCATCAATCAGCTGCCTCCTGCATACATCCTACTGGGGATGTGCCCGCAATCAAGGTACATGCCCTTTGACCAGAATCGAACCTGGGACCCTTCAGTCCACAGGCCGACACTCTATCCGCTGAGCTAAACCGGTTTGTGCATAAATTAAGCATTTTTGATACTATTTTAACTCTTTCAGACCCAAAGGTTATCTCTAGTTATTGGGTATTTCAATACTTTCATTAATGTCATTAAATTGAAAAATGTCAATTTCCTACATTAGAATGGTATACTGTATAACTATTAATATTTATGTATTATACACACATACATATGCAGTAAAAGGTAAGTATAAGACGGATGGCAAATCTGGAAAGCTCACTGAGAAGTTTTACCAGTTTCATTCTATGTCCTGTATTACAAATTATATAATCCTATATAATAAAAATGTAGTATGCAAGTTGTCCCCTCGACCGGGAATTGTTAGGAAGTTTGACCAGGGGGTGGGGCCCTGGCCGGCAGCCGGCATCCATTAAGGATCCTACCAGTGCACACAAGCACTGGGCCTCTAGTAAATAATAAAATAAATAATGCCGTTAGTAAAAGGCTTTACCAATAAAAAAAAAAAGCTTTGAGATGTGCTGTTCATAAAGAAGAGAAAGGAAACTGTGGTTAAATAACAAATAGTCCAGAGTTCAAGGTAGATCCTTTGATGCTTGAATATGAACTATGCTTATAATCCTTTTTGATACAGCAGACATGTAATTTGACCATTCACAGTGCCCACTATGTACGGGACTGCTTTGGGCTGTTTTTATCAAGAGAATTTGAAGTAGAAATGTCTCATAGCTCATAATGGTTTTCCTACCTCCCGTTACCTCTGTTTAGGACTCTGCTATTGTGAATCTTATTTGACACATGCAGTGCATCAAGCTGGAAGGAAAAGCATCACATATTTTAAGACAAACACTGTGCCAATTAATTTTTTTTCCTTCATGGAAAACAAGGTCAGAACCATGGGAGTTCAGTTACCTTGTTTTTCATTGTTGAGTGGGTACATTGCAAAGCAAGAGAGAGGATCAACAAGCAAGAGAGACAAGGGAAAGAAAACAGAATATACAATACAACCAAGTTGCTTGTGT